CACCCAACGTGGGGCGCTGACGCGCGCCTCCCCGGAGCCTATGGCAGCGCAGCGCCGGACGGGCCGTTCTCCCTCCCCCGTCCTCTCGCTTCCTTCTCCGCGGTCTCCTCGGTCTCCCCTCCCACCCCGGCCCCTCCTCCGCCAGCCGCGTCCTCCCGGGCTTGGTGAGGAACTGTTCCTGGAGGAGCCGCGGGACGGCAAAACCATCCAATGGGAAGAGGCGATTCGCGGAGATTGGCACTGAAGATGGGAAGGTCGGTGGGAAGGAGAGCGGCGGGGCTGGGCTGTCAATCAAAGTAACGTGGGGCTGGCTAGAGAGCGCGCAGGAGCGCGCTAGCGGGAGGGACTGGCGAGCGTGCAGCCGAGGAAGCTGGGGGCTCGAGTTAGCAAAAATCCTGCCACTTGCTCACTTTTCCCTTTAATGAAAATCCTCAGATCTAAGTGAAAGTAACTCAAAGACTAGCTGCGTAGTTTCTTATTGGAGGCGGAGGGGGGGTTTTGGTAATTCGAGCAAATGTGTTTTTCAGTGCTGGACCCCCTTGTTTGATGCTACTCTGAAAGTGAGGCCACATTCAAAAATATATCTGACGTTTGTTTTTCCTTGAGCTGCCTTTTTACGGATGTACGAGAGGGAGTGGACTGTGCACTTAGTTGGAAATGCGTAAATGAGCAACGGCACGGTTGGCGTAGGTACACCAGCCGCAGAGACGACTATGATGTCCTTCCACCCCACCCACCCCCTTTGCACCCAAAGTGGTAGGATTTGGTTTTTATTGCAGGATTTCAAGCCACTTTTCAAAAAGATCGTCCTGCCCCGTTTGGCGGGAAGGATTCCCAGGGTGCTGCCAGAACAAGGCACGCGTGTCCGCAGATGAGACGCTTTGCCCGGGGCGTGAAATCCCAGGTCTTCGTCTTAAAAGTCCAGACTTCGCGGTTAGGAGAGGAGGGGAGCGGCTGAGGTTTTTAGGAGCCTCTCAGCTACAAGACCACGAGTCTGTTTCCAATTCCTGGGAACAAAGAGAGACAATGTAATAAACCAGCACTGAGACTTGAAAAACCTGTCCCGCACACCCCACCCCCATAGTCTGGGTGGTACTCCTGAGCTGAGCTGTGTGAAGAGCTAAATGGGAAGAGTTAGGTAAATGACGTGGCTAAGGTTCTTATGAAGTAGAACTTGAGTTAAAAGGGATTTTGAGATTGTAATAATCAAGACACGCTGTATAATTAATGCTGAGAGTCTTCGGTTTTTGTGTATGTCTCTAAATACACCCACAGCAGAAAACCGGCAGTATTGCTGCATTTATACTTTTGTTTAAAGAACAGTCCAATGGAGCTACTTCCACGTGAGCAGTGAGTGAATAATGCTGGTTTAGCCAAACGGTGGTAACTTTTTCTATAAGGGCACATCTTGGACAAGTATTTATCTTATGTTGGAAACTAGTTAAGTTTTTGGTATTAATAACCCCCACGTTCCCATTATTTTACTTTCAAGAGACTTATGGGAAGGAGCTTATTTAAAGAGACATACATTTTATTTAAAGATGTGCTTTTACAGAGATCTTTTTCTTGAAATAGTTTTAGAAGTTGTTTTAGATAATACATTTCACTGTTGGAGTTGTTTTAAAATATGTATGATATTGATTTGTCTATAATTGCATCACTCCCAAATATCAATTATAAATGAAAAATAAAAAAGCTATTTTAGCCTGTCTGTACGAAGCCATAGTAAATTCTTAAACAAGTTGGGCATTGTAGCTTTGTGGTGTTCTCATTAAGTACAGTTGGGAAGGCGGCTGTATTATTCATTTTGCTAACATGGAGAACAAAAAGGAAGAAAGCACTGCCTCACTTTCTTTGGTTAAATTTGGTGATGATGAGAGTTTTGCTCGACATACAGGACTTTTTGGAATCATAGGACCCCAGGCCTTTAGCAACCTGTTTTCCTTGAAATCATCTAATGTACGAGCCACATATTCCAGTCTGCGGCCAGTTCATCCCTTATCAGCTCCAGGACTGGATAGAAAGTGCTTGGATGCCACAAGTATGCTTGTATACATGCTGTGACAACTGGAGCAACTGATACTCCTCCGCAGCTTACCCAGGCTTTACGTGGTGCCTGTATCTTGAATAACTGGCACACTCTCATTAAGTTTAAACAGAGCCACTAAAATATGCTTTGAGACAGGGCAAAAGTGTTGCTACTTCTCCTTTCCCCACCCTGCTGCCCTCAAAATCAGTTCTAAGGCATCTTTAAATGTTCTCTAATGTATCTACTCACAGACAATGTGTCTGCTCACCATATTTCCCAGTTTGCCATGAGTAAACACTGGAAATTCTCTTTTAACTAGTCTTTCCTTGCCGATAGAGTTTGAAAACACCAGGCCTTCTGATTTCCTTATAATGTAGTATCTAGTATCTACAGATCATTATGAATTTAAAATTGGAAAGCCTTTAATTGTGCGCATAAAAATGGTTGGTTTTGGTTTTTGAAGCCTTTTCTTCCCATTTAGAGCATCGTCTGTCAGAGTGGGAGAAGGCTCTGCCCTTTTCAAGGTCATATTTTCTCCATGATTGTCATGCTGTAATAATTATACTACAAAACTCTCATCAAACTGCATTACAAATGATGGTGTTTAAACAGTCAAGTAGCTTTAATCTTATGTTTTAAATAAATAATATATGTGCAGATTGCCTACAGCCTGTTTAAAAGAAAATAGTCCTCCTTATGAAATCTATAATTTTGGTCTTCCATTTAAAGCCTGTTAACCGTAATCTTCTTTACCTTTAACATTCGTATGTCAATGATGTTTTTATGTGAAATGTATGATGCTTCCACTGGAAATTTTCTCTGAAAAACACGGTACCCTTTTTATGCTCTACAGAGAAACAGAAAGATTGTCAGCTTGTTCATTTTCTTTTGATGTTTATGTGGGTATATTCCCATTCATTTGTTGCTTATTATCAAATTTTCAACTCAGCAATAGCCTAAGTAATTACAAAAGCTAGATGTTATCTAGTACAGATACTACACAAAATAGGAAAAGTTATGGATGCTGATTGTAGCAACTAGACATCTTTCAAATCTATTACTTTTTTATTTGAAATCATAATTGTAATTTTTTTTTTTTTTTTTTTTTGGAGACTGAGTCTCCCTCTGTCCCCCAGGCTGAAGTGCAATGGCGCCATCTCAGCTCACTGCAACCTCTGCCTCTTGGGTTCAAGATTCTCTTGCCTCGGCCTCCCCAGTAGCTGGGACTACAGGCATGTGCCACAACACCCGGCTAATTTTTGTATTTTTAGTACAGACGGGGTTTTGCCATGTTGGCCAGGCTGGTCTCGAACTCCTGACCTCGTGATCTGCCCGCCTCAGCCTCCCAAAGTGCTGGGATTACAGGTGTGAGCCACCACACCTGGCTAATAATTATAGTTTTTAAAAGACCACTTTTGTTGTGTTCTCTTCATTTTAGCTGAGAAATATTGCTAATTTTCTCATTTCTTTTTTTTTTTTTTTTTTTTTTTTTTTTTTTTTTTTTTTTTTTTTTGAGTCAGAGTCTCTCTCTGTCACCCAG